ATGAGGCTTTAAAAAAAGAAGAAAGAGGCGTTATAGATTACAAAAGCGAAAAGAATGGCAATGTTATCTGCAAGTGGCAACCGTTACTACTATATCTAACTTTATAGGTGTTTTAAAAAGTCTTTGTAAATGAGAAATGACATCAATAATTAAAAACTATAATGAGGGAATGTGGAGTAGATCTTCACGATATGACGGTGAAGTTATATAGGACAGATATTAAATGGAAACAATATTATATACATTTATTGGATTCTTGTATATTAAATGCCTGGCTCCTTTATAGACACCATGTGAAAGCATAAAATGTGTTATAAAAAAAAATTTCACGGGAAAGTCGGGTGCGAAAGGGTTAAAGGAAAAATAGTTTTCCTAAACGATGTTGCAGATTCTACGAATTTTTGATTGATAGTCGGCTTCTTAGTTGACAAAAAAATCAAATTAGCTCATGACATATCAATATATATTCAATAATTTCCTGATTAGGGTCATTCCACATCAAATGAGCAAAAAAATGAGATTTTCGGCCGATCCCTTTCGATTTTTTTAAAATTTGGTAAGCAAAGAAAGGTCAATGTAACTAAGAAATAGCCAAAATTTTAGCCTCCTAACATTTATATTTTTGAAAATATTAGGGTTCAAAGTAGCAAAAATGACGCATTTTTTCCATTATCTGCCTTCATTCAATTAAGCATATCTTAAAAACTACATAATTGTAAATAACAAATTTAATATCAAAATTACGTACAAAAATTCTACTTTTAGATAAAAAAAAAATTTTTTATTTTTTTTTCAAATTTCCGGCCATTTTATTTAATATATAAGGACTAAAAATAATTTTTTGGAAATAATACGACCTTCAATTTTTTTAAAAAATTTAGTAAAATTATTAAACTCTTCCTTTATATTTATAAAAAAAAATTGGTCTGGTACGCGGCCATCTTCATTCTCCAAATCGATAAAAATGTTTAGAAAAGTGTATAAATATTTTCCCGAAAGGGGGCGTCTTTGCATAAAATTATAAATTAATCAGTTTTTAATGGTTCTTCTTGGACTATTTGATATAATTTAAAGGAGTATTCATCTTGTAAGTGAAAATAACAATAAATGGGGTTTTCATTCAATTATAGAAATTGTCTATCGATAAAAGAATATTTAATTTATTACTTTATTATAAAATTCTTTGCCCATATAACATATATTTAATGAATATTAATAAAATATATTCAACCAAGTTTATAGTTCTTGAATATATGAATCAGAATCTCGTGCATTTCATAGACGTCAAAAATAATATCAAAATTTTCTCTACTCAATTTTTTAAAATAATTTGATATTTTTAAAATATTACAAATATTAATTTATTATTATTATTATGAAATTATATACAAAATAAAAGTATTATCATAAAATAACCCAAAACAATATAAATATTGGCTAAAATCGGCATAGCCTTACTAAATTAGAATAACAATAAATAAGTGTTTCAATCAATAAAATAAATAAAAATTTTAAAATTGATTAACCCTTTCACGCCCAGCGAGATCATTTGTCATCAAAATTTTTAATCAATTAATTTTTATATTTAAAGAAACTAAAGGTTGGTACTTAGAGATATTAATTTATAAAAACAATATTTATTATTTCGTATTTTATCAGTAACCTGAAATCATTATTTTATTATATCAAAGTACATGTATTTTTTGTTCATGGGAAATATTCCAGGCGCGAAAGGGTTTTAATCATTCACTAACACATGCTCACTATATTAATTCATTTTTTAATTAATTTCTTGGTATTTTGATTTCTATCAATACCTAACCCCAAGCCTGGAAAAACTATAGACGAATATACAGTTAAAATTGTACAAGAATTTTATTGTATGGAGGAAATAAGCAGAATCATGCCAGGCAAGAAAGATTGCATTTCGATTTTGACCAAAGACGGAAAAAAGAATACCATACATAAGAGATTAATTTTAGATAATTTGAAAAAAATTTATATATTTTTTTAAAGAAATGAGGCCTGATGAAATTGGTTTTTCGAAATTTGCAAGCATTAGCCCAAAAATTTTATACTCGTTGGAGGTAGTGGTACACATGTATGTGATTGCGGCTACAACCAAAATGTTAAATTAATGATCATTGGATCAAATTTAACCAATGATATGTTGCTCTTTAAAATATACAAACATATTTTACACTTAATAATTTGTAATTCGCCTCAACGATCCAGTTATATGGGCAAATGTGATAATTGTCCAGGGTCAACACATTCACGCGATCAAATAGAAATATTGTTTCGTTCTAAGGGCATCGAATTTATAACATACAAACAATGGCTATCCGTAGATAGAACCACTCTTGAAACAATAACCAAACCAGTAGGTGAATTTATCAATGCCTTTTTTGAAAAAATGGAATCTTTATTACTCCATTTTTTTATTTCAATGCAACAATCGTTGTATCAAAACAATCTAAAATTGAACTTAGATGAAGACCAATATTTAATTTTGTGATTTTTAAGAAAACTATAGCTTTATACTTCAGGATGAAGTACAAAATTATCATTGGAATAGGGCTCAATCCACTGTTCACCCTTTTCTTATATATTATAAAGATAATTTTGCCAATATTTGTTGCCTAAATTATGTAATGATATCCGAATCTTTGCAATACAATACAATAGCAGTACATAATTTCAAAAAAACATTGGTAAATTTTTTAATTAATAAAATTTGTAGGCCAAATAAAATTTTTAATTTTCCGGTGGATCCGCTGCACAGTATAAAAATCGTAAAAATTTTATTAATATTCCCATCATGAGATGGATTTCGGGGTACAGGCGAAATGGCATTTTTCTGCTACAGCACACGGGAAAAGTGTTTGGGATGGGATTGGTGGCACTGTTAAAAGATTAGCCACTAGAGCTAGTTTACAAGGCCTTATTCAAAGTACATATGAATTGTATGAGTTAGGTAAAGAAAATATTAATGTCATATATTTTGAAGATGACCAAAATAAATTATGATTACGAAGATCTATTACTCAGGGAAAGATTTTCAAAAACTAGAACTATATCTGGAACACACAAAATACCCACTTTGATTCCAACAGATCTACATCAATTTAAAATTAAATGTATTCCAATTCAATAGAAAGTACTTTAGAATAGTTATCATATGATGAAAGTATAACTATTGAAGAAATATCAGGATACCTAACGTATCCTTATGATTCTAATTGGTGGTTAGCTTTATTTTAGTAAAAAATCAAAAGCAGGAAGAAATATATATAAAGTTTTTACACCCATCCGGACCTTCTAATTCCTTTACATTTCCAAGTATAGACGACACTCTTTACTTGCCCAAATGTCATATCTTAACATTAGTTTGACTGTTAAATGCTACTGGCCGTAGTTATACATAGTCGTCACAAGAAAATAAATGCACTACCGAAAAATTAGAATCCTTTGAAAGTGAGTTTAAATTTAAATTATATCAATTTTTTTAATATTTAGGGTGCCATATATGAAATGCACAAGATTCTGATTCATATATTCAAGAACTCGAAACTTAATTGAACATATTTTATTTATTAATATTTATTAAATATATGTTATATGGGCAAAATTTTTTATAATAAATTATAAATAAAGTAATAAATTGAATTTCTTTTATCGATAGACAATTTCTATAATTGAATGAAAGCCCCATTTATTGTTATTTTCACTTACAAGATGAATAATCCTTTAAATTATATCAAATAGTTCAAGAAAAACCATTAAAAACTGATAAATATATATTTTTATACAAAGACGCCCCCTTTTGGGAAAATATTTATATACTTTTCTAAACATTTTTATCGATTTTGAGAATGAAGATGGTCACGTCCCAGATTAATTTTTTTTATAAATATAAAGGAAGAGAATAATGTCTACTAAATTTTTTAAAAAAATTGAAGGTCGTATTATTTCCGAAAAATCGTTTTTAGTCCTTATATATTAAATAAAATGACCGGAAATTGGAAAAAAAATAAAAAATTTTTTTTATCTAAAATTAAAATCTTTGTACGAAATTTTGATATTAAATTTGTTATTTACAATTATGTAGTTTTTAAGATATGCTTAATTGAAGGCAGATGATGGTAAAAATACGTCATTTTTGCCACTTTGAACCCTAATATCTTCAAAAATATAAATGTTAGGAGGCTAAAATTTTGGATATTTCTTAGTTACATTGACCTTTCTTTGCTTACCAAATTTTAAAAAAATCGAAGGGGGTCGGCCGAATCGTGGTTGATTTGTCATGGACCCACCAGATCTCTTGAAGCATTAACTCTTTACTTATAAAGAAATATTAAACTAAGGTATAAAAAAATTTATGTATGATATTTTTCAACCTAAATCTGTAATTTCTCTAATTGAAATATTAGTTGGTTTAAATCGCGATTTAAATCAAAAAAATCAATTTTTTTTAAAAATCACAAATTTTGTCAACCCTAGAGTTTTAAAAAATATAATAAACAGCAAATGATGGTAGGCTAAAAATGATTAAGGACCGAGAAAAAATGTAACTAAGAATGACCTGAAGGCTAAATACTACTAACCAATTATTCTTACCCAATTGAAAATACAGCATATATAAGAATTTCTTTTATTATAAGAAATTTGCATGTTCTTAATTAAAGGGAAGGTTAAAAAAAGAAGAGCACGCTTCTTCTCCGTCCCGCACCCCTAATAATACCTCTATATTTTCATTGATACACGAATTGATTTTTAAGTTTCCTTAAGGTAAACTCGGTTTATCCATCTTTAGAGTTAACTCAAGCCTAATTTAAAATGGCGCGATTTAACACACCGCCTTGTACTATAAGAATCTATGGCGCACAACAAAATGAATTATACTAAAATAGGAGTAAATTAGGGTTTTCTGCCCATTAAGATTATGATGGAAAAAAAGAAAATAACATTATTGAAAGAATAATAATGTTAAATCAAACCTTTCTGAATGACACTTCGGATGGGAACCTTAGTTTTGTGGGCCATATAGCCTATGAAGGAAAATACGACTGTCCCAGCGAATATGCTAGTTCCCGAATTGATAAAAGGTAACATTATGGCATCCCTAAAATATGGAGTAAAAAAAATTCTTACTTAAATTTTTGATATTTAATATTCATTGAGTTACTTTAATTATAATAAAAATTTCAAATAAAAAAAATAATAATACAACGCATCAACTATAGCAATAAGCATTATAAGGGTTTAATCTAAAATTATATTTTACCGGACAATTCAAAAAAAACAATTCATTTAAATAACCTGTAACAATTGTGATGAAATTTGTTGTAACTAGCCATGGTTATAAGGCCACCCCAACCAGCCGCCTGAGAATAAAATATTTGGGTGGCCGCTGCTATCCATATCTAAATGAATTGCACGTATACAAATTAGGTTAGTAAAATATTCGAAACAAATATGTATTTAGATTAATAGATTAGATAGGAAAAAGATTAGGTTTTAAAATTTTAGTGGTTTACATAACTTTCAATTCTAAAACTAAATCTAACGGTGGATTTGGAATTCTTACACTTTATTACTCAATAATTAATTAAACTTTTTCTTTAGGTTAAAATTTATAGCAATATCTAGTTTTTAAATCAATTTTATCATTCATTAAAAATATGGGCTGTGAAACCCTCACTTAGATAAAAGGGGTTGTGGGTGTTAGGAGCGTAAAAGAATAAGGGCTTCAAATTGTTTATAACAATTTTATTAGAAGTCTCGAATATTTCCATCATTCTTTTAATAATATGGGTGAACTTTTCAAATAATAATATTAGGATTTGTTATTTATCATTTTCTGTTAATTTTATTTTCCTTTTCAAAATGTAAATCTCCAAAGTTATCCTCATTAAGTCATTCTTTATCAATTGTGATAAATAAAAAGGTGTACAATATTTCTAATTATTTCTTTTTCTCATAATTTAATTAGATAAGATTTAGCTGTATGTTCGTGGTCATTGGTTAGCAAGACTTAATACAAGAGTCTGGATATACAGTCAAAAAGAATATTATTATTAAAATATCTTTCATCTTTTAACTAGTCTGAGAGGCACCTTTGCACTGCCTCATCGAAGTTGTTACCATAAGTTGATCTAGAATTTGTGGAATCTTAAATATTGAAGCCCAATTTCTTTTACAAAATCCAAACAGAATTCAATTAATAGTCGTTTCAGCTTATCGTAAACTAAGGACCATCTAGTTGTCACTCAATAACAGTCCTTGCATATAAAATGAATCATAGTATTTAAAAAAAAATAATATGAAAATAAATTTTAAAATAGGGTTCTGGTTCCTAAATATGTCGTAGATCCAAGGATTTCAAACTCTGTTAGCTAAACATCTGATTCTATAAACTTTGGGTTGTTAATCCTTCCGCATTTCCGCTAGATCTATTATTTCTTCGTTTGTTTCATCATAAACATATAATTATCATCTATTGGATTTAATTCTTCATATATGGATTCGTCAAATAATTTAATTGAATATAAAATTTGCGTAAAAAAGTTTAAGTTCAGTTAAAATGAGGATTGGGAAGGGGGGTTCACAGCCCTGCTAAAAATGTATAATTAATATTTCTTATCCATTTCCGTTATTTAGAAGGAAAAAACTAAGTATGTCCATTTAATTATCTGATAAATTACTCAAAAATCAGATATTATAAATAATTTCCAAATATAAATTAAATATCAATAGATGGATGATTAGATTTCCATGCATTTTAGAGTGACTCATCAAAGAAAGGGTTCTATAATACATTTTTCGTCGATAAATATGGATAGTAGAACCAAAAAATGAGAGAAATTTTTATTAAGGTAAATTTTTCAAAAGGAACATTTAAATTTAAAAAAACGGAATTTTTTTCATGGACAAATTTTGGAAAGAAGAACAAAGAGGATGAAATCTTGATAAATTGTTAGGGTAGAGAGCTTAATTAAAAAATTATCGCTATTTTGGATAGGTAGATAACCAATAGACTGGAATCGAAAAATATTGAAAAATCAGTAATTTTTCGCAGATTGGGTATTATAACAATATGAAAACAACCTCAATAGATCATGGGTTAAGGAAATTACGTTCGATACATAATTCACTCTATTTTTTTCATGGATAAGTTTAGGCAATTTATTAAGACATAAAATACGGAAATCTCCAAAGATAATGGTTTGGAAAAGAGATTTAAATTCAATAAAAAAATGACTATTTTTTTCTTGATCATATATAATTTAATGTTACTTCCATTTCTCACTGTATTCACGATTTTCGAAAGGATTCGCGATATTTTATAACTATTCTAACATTTAATACAAATTACAAAATGTAATTAGGCAAATTGTTTTTTTACGTAATATCAATCTCATTCCCTCCGACGTTATTTATGTAATCTTTCTTACCACCCATCTATTAAAATCTTATAGCCGGTGAAATGTAATAATGTGATGACTATGACTAAAAGCGAGCAAAAAAATCTTATACATTTAATTAAAGATAATTTAAGAATTTGTATTATATTTTAGCTAAAAATATATAAATCGATTTAGTTTTAAGGTAAAGGCAACATTTTTGTTTGTAATAAGTCAAAGTTATAAAATGAAGAATGATATATGTTGAAAGGATAAAGGGGATTTTACAAAAACTGATTTTGAATCGTACCCCACATTCTCGTCAAAATAAGGAACCTTAGGTAAATATTTGATGGGGTCTGTCGTAAAAGTTTATCATAATAATTACTATAACCATCCATTAAATTTCAGTTAGTTTTTTTATTTCTCGCATCGAAAGGAGGAGTTATGTGATGCGATAAAATTATAAAAGATAAAACTTTAATGTCTCTAAGTGCCCTCCAATCTGGCTTGTAGAATAGTTTTATGCCATCTAAGGCCCCAGGAAGCATGAGTCCTCTGGAGAATAGGATTACGAGGATCAAATATGGCAAAGTAGCTGACACGTATACGATCTGCGTAGAAGGTAAAAAAAACGACATAAGATAAGAAAATTAATATTGTATTTGTGCATGCATTATGATTAACATTTAGATAAATATGCATTTCCATATCGTTAAATATCATCCCATTCAAAAAAGGAGCAAGTTAAATACCATACAACACATAGACATCATGATATATAATTAATATATATTGAATTTTAAATCTGAGTGATGAGAGTTATGCAATGTAAACACCATAGTCAATACAGTTAATGGTTAATGGAATATCAATAATTACCAAGAGAATAATTACCTTTCCAGAAGATTTAACCCCTTTTATCAGGCATAAAAAAATAATAATCCAGGCCAATACCAAACAGCCCAATAGCTCCAGTCGGATGTTCCCCAAGTACTCTATACCGGTTGACAATTGCAAGACGTGTCTTCTAAAATAATCAATAGAGGCTTATGTTTATTTACTTTTGAATTTGTTATAATAATTAATTGTATTTTCAAATAAACGATACATATTTCCATAAAATAGATACAATTGATTCGGTTCATTTTCAAAAACTAATTATTGTCCGGATAGACGACTAAAAAAACATAATTTATTATATTATATATTTTTTTTAAATATTAAAACATCCAAAATTCTTCGCTGGCCGATGTACGCTGTCCAGTCCCTTGCAACGAAGTACCGTTGCCAAAGTTGGCCGATAATGTCATATTGAATGACGTGATGTTATGTAGCGATGAGGTTAACTGAAAGTCGTTAAGGGACCCGTCCCTGACAATGCATTGGGGGGTGTTCCATGCGTTGTCGCAAGTGGACCAAGGCAGCCGCGTAGTGAAAGAGGAAAACAAGTAATAGAAATTCCAGGCCATAATTATGTTATAGTAGATGCATACGAGGGCCGATATCATGACCATACCGTAACCAACACCTGTTTTATTTTGAATTTAGTTAATTATAAAAAAAAATTTAGGGTTAAGAAATTTTGGTAACATTTATATCAAATTTGTCTCACCCTAAGTTCAAGGCTATTTTATTAACTTTAACTTTTCGTTAGCTCTTTTCCATTTTTGAGTACATTCCATCAAAAATAGATTAAAGCTAACGCAAAGCTAGCATTAAAAAAAAACAGCTTTAGGCATGGCCTTAAATAAATACTATTTTGGGGGTTCTTTCTTTCACTTAAAATTAGATATAAGTTATGATATCATAATACCATAGAGACTTTAATTCCAGTGGTACAATTTTATTTCTTTTTTTAATATAAAATAAAAATTGTCAACAAAAAATAGTGAGTAAAAAGTCTTTTTTTTATATATATTTATATATACAGGGTTTCCCATACAAAAAGGAAAAGTTTCAATCATAAGAAAAGGTCCAATCAAAATTTTTAAAAAAAAAGAAAAGTGTCGATCAAAAAGGAAAATTTTCAAAAGGAAAGGAAAAGCAATCAAAAAAAGGAAAATTGTAATTTTTTTAAAAACATTATAACTTTTAAAATATTTTTTCTCAGTTCTTTTTTGTACATATATTTTTAATTATCTTGTGTATATATCAGATTATAAAATAAAATGACTTATTTGCCCACAAAAAAAAAAATTTTTTTCTGTCAATTTTTTTAAAATTTTTATTTATTTTTGTTGATCCTTTTTATTTTATTTCTAACTTTTTGCGATATCTTTACTTTATTTTTCTTACTATATCTTTTCTCAATTTATTTATAACTTTTTGCGATTTCTTTACTTTATTTCTTTTACTCTTTTCTCGTTATTTTTCTTTTTATTTTTGATAATTCTTTTGTCTTTTTAAAAATAATTTATAAATTTTCCGTTATTTTTCTTCACCTCTGCTCCTTTTTTTTAACAATTCTGTACTTTTTTTTCATCATATATACAATATTCTTTTTATGATTTTTTCTCCTTGTATTGTAATCTTTCATATACATTTCTAACCTTTCATTTTTAATCTTTTCTCAATTCTTTCTCTTCTCATTTTTGATAATTCTTTTTAGGAGTTATATTTAATTTTCACTAAATTTTTGGTAATTTTTTACATATCAAATTATTAAATTAATTGCTATATTAATTTAATCGTTTGGTTAAATGTACCTTTTTAAAATTAAATAAGTTTTAGCTTTAATACCAAACGATATGTAAATTAATAATATAATCATTTTTAAATTCTTATTTTTTAAATTTTAATATTTTTACAAGAAGCACATACATAATCATACAATAAGGGAATTGATAGGAAGAAGAGAGCATACATTTAAATATTTACCAACTTACAGTCCTGTATCTTAATCCCATTAAAAATGTGTTTTTACAATGGAAGGATTTTGTCAGAAATTAAAATCTAAGGAGGAGTTAATTCGTTTTATAGAGCATAGAGAGAGAGGAATATCTGAGGAGAATGCAAAAAATTATTCTAGAAATATGGAGACCTATATTCCAAAATGTAGAAGAGGGGAAATTATTAATGATTAATATAAATTTTTGTTTATTACATATATATATATCGTAATTGTAATTAAATACTGATTTGATTTGTAAAAATTTTAATATAAAAAAATTGTCTGCCAAAAATTTAGTGATTGTCTGCCAAAAATTTAGTGATAAATATAATTTCTTTGAATTATCAAATATGAGAAAAAAAAACTGAGAAAAGATCAAAAAATAAAGATTAAAAATGACTTAGAGACTGAAAAGGTTAGAAATGTACAAAAAATCATAAAAATAATATTGTGTGTATGATGAAAAGTACAGAATTGTTTAAAAATAGGAGCAGAGGCGTGAAGAAAAAAAACGGAAAATTTATAAATTATTTTAAAAATGACTAAAGAATTATCAAAAATGAAAAGAAAAATAAATTGAGAAAAGATATAGCAAGAAAAATAATGTAAAGACACAAAAAGTTAGAAATAAAATAATAAGGAATAACAAAAATAAATAAAAATTTAAGAAAAAATTTTAAAATTACGAATTTCCTATTTTGAATGGGAATTTTCCTTTTTTGATTGACACTTTTCCTTTTTTGAATGAACCTTTTCCTTTTTTGTTAGGCACTTTTCGTTTTTGATCGGACTTTTTCCTAAACATTTGGAACTTTTCTTTTTTGTTTGGGCCTCTTCCTTTTTTGATTAACCCTTTTCCTTTTATGATTGACCCTTTTCCTATTATGATTGAAACTTTTCCTTTTTTGATTAGGGCTTTTCCTTTTTTGAATGGGAAACCTTGTAAAAATACCAGAGTTGTTATAAAATGTGGTATCTGTATCTAGATAGATTTTTGATTAAAGTATCTGTATCTAGCTATTAATTACAAGGTATCTGTATCTGTTTTTAGATACATTTTGATATACTTTTATTTAACACTTTTTTATATTATAAATAAAAATACTTGAATGTAAAATTTATTTCATTTCATATGAGCATATAACTTAATATTAAAATTATATATAAAAAAGAATATATAAATATTAATTAATATTAAAATCCATCTCAAGGAATTTGTCATTTTTAATTGCAATGGAATTGGTATTTTATTTTATTCTATTATATTAATTTTTAAGATTAATATTAATGACGAAAATGACGACATTCCATGGCCAATTTATAGACCATATTTTAAAATAATATCTCAAAATAATGAAAACAAATCTCTGTTAGTAAAATGTTTGCCATGTCTACCAAAAAATATACAAATTTCAGTTAGCATTAACTCAACTTGCAACATTGTAAAACACTTAAGGGTAATAGATACTAAATTTACAATTTTAATTTTAAATTTTAAGAGAAAACATCAAACACTCTTAATCCAAATAAAAAAGGGGAATGATAAAAAATCTATTAAAGAAAATATTGGACTCTCATCGTCCATTGATTTTTTTCCAAGATACCTCAGACTTTAACCCAAACCACTTTAGATGATTTAATTGTTGATTTTATTATAGATAGCATTCAGCCATTTTCAGTTGTTGAAAACCACAAAAAATATAATTTGCAGACAGACAGTGGTTGCTAGAATTTCCGAAAGATGGGAGTGAAATGAAAGAAATCATTAAAAGTCTAATACGTTAATATGCACAACAGCAGATTGTTGGAGTGCCTATCGCCGGTATAGCTAACATTTAAATTTGTATAATAATTTAATTACAAACAAATTATTTGAGCTGTTTTAAGAAATGTTAAATCTTAGTTCATACCTAGGAGTCAATTCACAGCTTATTACTGTGCAACTATTTCCCAGCTCATTGTTAAATTGAAAATTTTTAAATAAATGAACCTGAAATTTTGTTTACCATTCTTAAATGCCTTACTTAAAGGGATTGAAGATAGGTAAATTAATAATAAATTAATCAATATTTAATAATTCTAGGTTTATTGGGACAATTTTTGAAGGTGAAAATATATTGGCAACTATGCTTCATCCTTTTTTTAAACTAGATTGGACATGGTTGCAAATGGATGAAAATTTTAATTAAAAAAAAACAATTAATACAAAGATTAGTTGAGGAATTATCAAAGTCTTCAAATTAGTGCAAATTAACCTGTGAAAAAAAACCAATAATTTAATATCCGATTTTTTTAGTATCTCACAGCAGGAGATATGATTTAATGATTTAAATTCTGATAATCACCAAATTTTAAATAGTTTGTTCAAAAATGAATGCCGAGATTTTAGTATTTTTAAACAATATCCTGATATAAAAATGTTATTCATTAAATATAACACCACAATCCCTTCCAGCGCCCCTGTTGAAAGACTTTTTAGTATAGCTAAAAATGTTGTCTTTACAGATAAACGAGGATGTCTTAATGACCAAAATTTTGAAAATATTTTATTACTAAAATCTAATAATTATTTATAATCATTTAATCATATATTATATTATTTTATTAATGATATATAATAATTATTTATATTAATCATATTTTATATTAATATCTAAAATTCATTATAATAAATTTTTTCATGAATTTTCACAATAGAATCCTAATTTAGGTTTATTCAAACCTTATCTAAGAATAATAAAAAATGTATCTGTACCTAGATACATTTTAAATTATATCTGTATCAAGATATCTTTTTAGTAGCTGTATCTGTATCTAGATAAATTCTTAGACTATGTATCTGTATCTAGATCATTTAAAAAGTATCTTTTAACAACTCTGAAAAATACACATCTTAAAACAGTGTTCCATGTTCAAGCTCTCGTCTAGTGTTGTTAAAAAGTCGAGTTCACCCGACTACGACTCCGAGATTCGATTTTTTCATTGTAATAATAAAATTTAACTCATACATATGATTTATAAAGATTTAAATAAATAAAATTAAAATAATTTCAAAGCGGAGTTGAAAAAATAAAATAAATAAAACAATGAATTAGATGCAAAAAAAATTTTAAAAATCCCCCACTCCTTAATTAGGTGCCAGATAGGCGATTGGGTTTTTTATTTTATTATAAAATTAATTTCTTTTTTTTATTTTAGATTTTTTGAAATATTAAATAATTTTTTATAAAAAAATGTATAATATTGCCTACAAATTTTTAAAGGAGATGGAAATGGAAGTTAAATTTAGGGTGGGGGCTAAATATTTAGATGAAAAATAGTTTTATTTCATCAAATCGAAAAATAAATAACATTAAAAAAAATAACATCAAAAAATAAGAAAAAAGAATAATGAAATGAGCCTCCCAAAAGGAACAGTAACCTAACCAGATATTTAGTATAAAATTATTTTATTCTTATAAAAAAAAATTTTATGGACGAGGCAGATAAGGAACAAGAGCAAGACAATTCTTTTACCTCTAAAGATTACTTTATAGATACTAAATTCTAAGCGCAAATGTTTGTATTTGTGATAAAATTTACAGTCTCCATACGGCTACAAGTATAATATATTTCTAAAATATATTTTAGATAAAATG